ACATGTGTGACATGTCTTGATTACCTTTTATAACAGAAGTTTGGTCCTTAAGGGGTTAAAGAGGACATGTCAACCCCCCCACCCCCCAAACCATTTATGCTCTTTGAAATGAACATTAAATGCCATCTATATATTTTGCTAGCCAATGTATAGATTGGGAGAAATACTATTTAAAAATAAGTCTTTCTCCAACTTAGCGGTCAATTCTTCAGGATGAACTCTATGCTGACAATTTGACTGACAAGAAAGAGCACCTACAGACAGTCTGTCATGTTCCTGAGCAGGTCAGAGAGGAGACGATTGCCAGGGTTATTGGTTGAAACTTTATTTTTCTTTTTGGACATAACAATTTACTTGAAATAAAGAATTAAGGCAATCTGCCACAAACAGGATACTTTGAGAGTAAAACAGAATAAAGGCAATATGCAACAAATGGGATATCTTGAAAGTAAATGAATTAAAGTCTTTTATATTCAAGTAGGTTTGAAGTGATTCCAAGGAGATTAGTAGTTTGTGGAATGTCCCACTGCAGTCAGGTTCAGGATGATACAGGGTTGAAATAGTTAAAGCTGGTAAATAGTTTCAGTATAATATAGTTCAGGTTGCTTACAGGATTATGCAGAGTTGCAGCAGTTGAGACAGGTTAGTTGATTCCAGTATAATGTAATACAGGTTGCTTACAGGATCATGGAGTGTTGCAGCAGTTGAAGCAGTTAAGGATCTTCAATATGGTAGATCAAGTAGGTAAGTCTCTTCAGATTGAAATAATGCAGATAAATACAGAATGTTTTCAGGAGCCAGGATCAGAAGTTCTATGTCAGAACACTGACTTCAATGTCAAGGCAATGTCGTGTGCAGGGTCTCGACTTATGAAGCCTCCTCATTATTCAATACAGGTGAGGATGATAGGGTGAGAGAAAAGTTTAGTGGCTAGGGAGGCCACTAGAGGTGAAAATAAGGAAGTGAAATTAACGGGGCAGTAATAAACGAAAAAGTCTTACATGTCAGTTTTGGAACCTGACTCAGTCCTTCTGCTCTCCTAAGCATAGCAGCCACAGTGTATGCAATGCAGTTGATATGGAAACTCCCTAGCCAATGCTGCTAGCTCTGGCTAGGGAGTTGTTGTGGATCATAAATGTTGATCTTTGTTATATTCAGAGGAAGCCCAAATTGTTGTTACAAGTGCACTTGGAGAAGCGAGAATAAGACACCAGACACCTGTTGGTATTCAAAATAAGCCTCTGACGTTTTATTCATCAGCTGAGTTTTATACATTAAAAAGTAAGTGCTTACGTGCAAATACTCTTAGAACAGTAATAGGAAGGGAGTACAGATAAGACATAGGGATGAGCGTCATGTACACATAACAAATAAGTTTCAAGGTAAGAGAGAACAAAATGATTAGAGCAGAGACATCTTAGGTGGGGGCTCTCTGCTCTCGGAACTTAGACATATATGGTCTTAAGTGTTGTTTAAGCATCAAGCATTTCCTGAGTCCAAATTAATTATGACACCTATAAGCTTGAGCCTTGGAATCAAGATAAATTCTATCACAATCCCCTCTTTTGATCCAAGGGTCACCCAAATGTCCAAGGTATATCCAGGCCTGCTAGCCAAAGCCTGTGGGACTTTCATTTATTGCTTCACCACGGTTCCCTTGGACTGAGAGACCACCAGATTCAGCGGAGGAGAGTTCCTTCATTTGTTAGGCGAGGTAACATCATAAAACCTTTTCGAAGTCGGAGCTGGAATGCAAGTTAAGGTACGACCAATAGTAGGTTTGCTTTTACATAGAGAGGTTAGTAGACATGAAAAAAATCTAAAGGTTAGAAAAATAGCCATAATGACAAATACAGCTAATAGCAAAAAGTACAAAATCTTCTTAATTAGTAAAGTCAACCATGTTCCTAGCCCAAATGTCAAATAAGGGTGTTTTAACATCTCTCCTGTCTCTCAGCAGTTTGTGTAGCTGGGTGGTTTTAGTGATCAGGTCAGATTTGGAAAACATGGTCATGGTTAGGCGAGAGATTGCACAGGGAGCTCCTGTAATGTTACCTGGGACATAAGCATAAGTAATATTTCCACAGGAGAAAGTCCATCCTTTAGGAAGATAGGCATTGTAGTGGTAACCCATAAGTTGGTGAGTTTTGGTACAATTCATAGTGGTGCTCAGGGGTCTACAATTCGTGGTATTTTTCCACCATGTGGGGCAAAACAGGGATTCAGTATTAGGGTCTCTTGAACAATTACATGAAAAAGACCAACATAGTTTAGCGCCTGACACATTAATTGTCTTTAGGGCTAGAGGAGGCTTATTTTGTAGTATATCTCCTAATTTATGGGCTAGTTCCTCTGTCTTTACCTTAGCCCATTCTCTCATTGCAGTGACATAGCATGCTCCAGATGAGGACTTGGTTCTAAACCATTCATCTGTTTGCATGTTGCTTTTTCTGAGGTTATCTTCATGGGCATGTGTATATTTAGCAATTATTCTAGCCCAAATGGGGCCAGCTTTAAGTACCACAATCTGTTTTAAATCCTTCCAAGTACACTTGGTAAGTAGCTTGAATTGTGGATAGAGACTGGACTAGAGCTAAGGGAGCCTTTTCACCATCTGCCAGCTGCTGTATTATTGCCAGTTGTTCACTGGGTGTCCAGGGCTTATATTCTTCCCAGTATTGGATACCTGAGCTCTGCTGACTGTTCTCATGGTATACGCTCTCAACTTTGGGTATCATGGGAGTAGAAAATTGTGGAGCTAATTGCCCCACTGGGGTGTCTATGGGGGCAACTAGGGGTTCCTTTAAGTCTGGACTACCTTCCTGCTCTAATGAACCCATAGGTCTTACTGGGACACCGTATGAAGTCCCACTGCGTAATATTACTGGATAGAGAGGTTTTGATCCCCGTAAAAGGGAAATCGCCTGGCCTTTTGGGACCAAAGGAGTCCCTGCAGTATCCTGGTAAAGGGATGGGTTTACAAGATTTTTCCCAGGATCTTGCCTACTCTGGGACCCTAGAGGTCCAAAACATTGATAATATGGTACACCTTTCCTGGTGGTTTCTCTACAACCACATTAAGTTAATTCAACTGCAGTATCATGCCATTTTTGTGCGACTTCTACTAAGTCATTATCTTCTAACCATCCTCTGTAATTTGCCATAAATTCACTCCATATATGTGGGTCTAGAGTGCCTTCTGAGGGCATGCCAGCTTTCTTAAGTAACCTCTTAACATTCTTAATTGCTCCTTGTCCTTTGTGATGCTTGACAATAGTCAAAGCCATAAATCCCCCTTGGGTATTTTCAGAGCTAACCATCTTAACCCCTTAAGGACACAACTATTGGAATAAAAGGGAATCATGACGGAATATTTCTGTCATGTATCCTTAAGGGGTTAAAATTTGTAAGGGTTAATTACTTCCTTACACAAGACAAACTGTACAAAAACAGTGTATTTAAACACTTAGGACCATTGCAGTGGAATTTTCCCAGTTTTGTCTTCTAAACACAGATCAGGAGATCTGCCCTTCGAGGATTCTAACTCAAATTATAAAACAAATGACAAGGCAAACAATAAAAATAACTTACAACCCACAGTTATATTCCACTATCTCAAGATTCCTTTCACAAGACATAACACAACCTCCACCTGAATATAACCATAATACCACAGAAAACAAGTTCTTTAGATCAGACGTTTTTAAGTCGTTCTTTACCCAAACAGACTAGTAGGAAGTGGATCTGAGAGCGAAATTGATCAAGGTAGAAAAAAAGTTTTTCTTACCTTCCTGTACAGCTGATTTCACTGTCAGAGGGACGTCCACTTGTACGCTAGTGTCCGAGTCTCTCGACCGTCAGATCCCGGGGTCACGGCACCAAATTGTTGTGGATCAGAAATGTTGATCTTTGTTATATTCAGAGGAAGCCCAAATTGTTGTTACAAGTGCACTTGGAGAAGCGAGGATTAGGAGCATACAGGAGTCACGTCACTCTTTTTAGATGACTGTATGCTGCATAATAAAAGAAGACTACTTGAGGATCCAAAGACAGATCGTAGGTGGTTGTTAAATAAAAAGTAACACCCACAAAGTTCTGTAGATGGTGGTGATGGATTGCAGGGGATGTGAGTATATCATGAAAATTTACATTGAATACATAATGTACAATTGTGATATATGGGGGCAATTTAAGTTAAGGAATTTTCCATTACAGGTTCACTAAACATTAAAACATTTATGTTTACTTAGTAGTCAGTTTTGAAGGACATATAACATGCAAATATAGTCCACGAGCTACACAATGCAGGTGCTCTATAGTCAAGTTTATTGGTGCACACAGGATACAAGAAAAATATGCATCATTTCAGCCTACATAACCTTAGTCATGTACCTATCTGTTTTATATTCCTTGTCCTGTGTGACTGATTCTGCGTGTTGGGTGAAGACCTATCATGACACAACATGAAAATTGTTAAGCAGAGCTGGTCTTCTCATAAGAAAAACTAACCCCATGCCCAGACCGACAATACATAGGTGCATTGTAGGAGATAAATGGGTGTTTAATGGAAGCTCAGGTTATACTTGCTCAAACTATTGCAGATATCCCACATATGTTTTTGTCTATATCCCCACACATGATTGGCGTGTTTTCCCTATAGTAACATCACCAAACAAATATTTACATTATTTTAATATCTTTAAGAAGCTAGAAGACTGTGTATAGGTGTACCTGGATGTGAATTACTCTCTGCTGGCATTGAAACACTCCGATTAGCAAAGTTATTCACTAAAGTGAGAATTGTAGGGAATTTAAAGTGAATTTAATATTTGAGGTCACATTAGCTAGATTAGAATCCCAGTCGACGTGGAGAATATTTCCATTTTGGCTATTTAGGTCTACGACTGAAAATTCCCTTTGAATTCCTACAAGTTCTCTCTTTTGGTGGACAGATCCTGACTGCCAAGATGGATGGACGCACAGTCAGCAGACACAGTCCAGCCAATCAGCAGCAGACCCTCCCTCCCAGACCCTCCCACTTCCTGGACAGCTCACTAAGAATGTAGCTTCACAATGGATGCTGTCCAGGAGGTGGGAGGGTCTGGGAGGGAGGGTCTGCTGCTGATTGGCAGGAATGTGTCTGCTGACTGTGAGGTACAAGGTCAAAGTTTACTCAATGATGAGTCCGCGGTGAACCGTTCGTGGCGAACCGCGGTGAACCGTTCGGCGAACAGTTCGGGACATCACTATTGCCAACCCATCTATCAACGCACTCAGGTGCTCACCTTACATGGTACCAAGTAGGCTGCAGGTACTGGTTCAGCCAAACGCGCTCTGACCGGGCTCGGAACCCATGTGGAATTAACTCCATGCTGCTGTCCAGATACCCGAGGGGTTTCTTCTATCCACTTCAGTATGGGGCAGAGAAGGCAAGGTTTGTGCTCACCTGAGTGGATACGGAGCAAGAATCCCAGAGTGTCCCAATTGGCTGAGCGATGTTGCAGGCAAACCACAAAGAAATTCTTGTTTTACTTGACAAGAATATTTTTGTGGCTTATTAGTTGATGTTATTTTTTTTTATTTTTAGGGGGCAGGGGGTTTAAGCTTGGTTTCACTTCTAATGAGCTGCAAGTTTATTGCGTCTTCTACAGGCCTTCTATTATACGCCTATGTCTTAGACATATATGACATGTTTATTGTCTCATGTGTTACTTTATTATGCCACATTATGACAAGTCTCTATTTTTACTCTGCAATTTTCCTTATTACATAATAAGGTATTGATACTATGTATAAATTAGGCATAGCTATGTTAGTGTACTCTTTTTTTGCTTGTATACTTATTTAACCTCTTCGCTACCAAAATCTTGAGCATGACAGTTATTTGAAACACAAGATGAATAGCAAATGCTTGCTATTCAGGCTTATAAATAAATATATATGTATATTTACAAGACGATGGGAGTTTTTCACTCCAGCTCTCCTCCAGATCTTGGCCCGGTGCTCAGCTGCACACAAATGCAGTCTCCAAAAAGAAAGCCAGCACTCAAGGACTTCAACATGAAAAAATAGGCATTTAATCCAAGTGGTCAACGTTTCAGTTCACAACTGTGAACTTTCCTCAGGACACCGTGTCCTGATGAAAGCTCCTCAGGACACGTGTCCTGATGAAAGCTCCTGTGAGGAGCTGAAACGTCGATTCTTTTTCTTCGCAATAAATGAAGATTTTTCGTGGTGACACTCCTTGAGTGCCGGTATTACTTTTGTTTTATATCATCCAGCTACCAGAGCACCAGGTATTTTATATATCTTGTTATGGTTGGAGTGCAGGGGTTATCTAGTTTTTTTTTATATATATATATATATATATATATATGTATATATATATATATAAAAATATTATTTACAGTAATATTTTAGGTATGGTCTGTCCCAGAACTACATTACAATAACTGTGGCTTTCTGGGACGTGTTATTTCATGGCTTTGCAATAATACCATCCATGCGTAAACACATACTTAAGAGAGAAAATGCTAAGGAAAGGTGCAGGATGCTGGAACATTGAAAAAAAAAATGACAAATGTTAATTTAAAAAATATAAAAGTAAATGGAACTCTAGGTTATGTTGGTACTACTTTCACGGTTTCAGACTGGGACTCAGAGAATTAAATTTTAGAAACCAAACAGTTAATTCTTCTGTAATTCCGATGCATTTACATATTACTATAGATTAAACTTCAAGGCCAGGCAGGGTTTTTCATATGGTGAGCAGTTAATTAACAATAATTCTTCAGTAATGTAGTACCATGTTGTGACTTGCTTCATTACACAGCAAGAAGCAGGCATGTGGGAGAAAATGGCGATACACCAATTTAGTTTTTTTTTCATTGTAGGCCATGATCTAGAATAATTGTCTCCCCAAGAATTAATTGGTAACAAACACATTTCTGTATGATAACACACTGCAATAATGTTTGATTATACCATGACCAAAAGTGGATTAGATTTTATTGATCATTTGTTGCTATCAATAAATATTACTGAATTGAAAGAAATATTAGCCAACTATCAAACCCATTATATTTAGCGTTGTTTGATTGCCCACCAAATAACAACACAATACTATTGGAACTTAGATATGCCATTGACAGTTTTTGTTTTCTATACCTACAGTCACAGTCAATTTTAAAAATCCTGATCTGGGGCAGGGCTGGACCGCCGAAGGGATCAGACACGCTCTGTCTTAATTCCCGCTACTGGGCCGAAAATCAGCGATAACTGGGGGCTAAATGCATCCAGCGACACACTCCGGTGACCAAATTGATCCCCAGCCATTGGGGTATGCAGAGACTCTCCCGGATACCTACTAAAGGTTACACCTGGTACCAACGGTGACCCGAACGAGGCCCGAGGCACGAGGGAGCTTGAGCCGGGAAGAGACTCTCCCGGGTCTCTGGCCGGCAGCTGGCGTCCCCCCCCCCCCACCTCTGGACCGGGGGGTCATCCCGGTCTACACGGACACCCATGTATGCGCCAAACTGGGCCTGAGAGATCCACCACGCCATGGCATACTTACCAAGCAGCACCCCTCAAGATGGCCGCCACATGCAAACCATGTGCGCGACCTGCCAGCATAATGGAGCCGAGACCATCCAGCGCCACCTGACCTACTCCAGGGCAGTACCGGCTGACTACACCGAGACTGGCAGTAGTGGAAATGGAGAGAGCGGCAACAAAGCGGGGAAGCAAGCAACCTCTCCCACCTGCACAAGACAGCCCACAGATGAAGAGAGAGGCAGTCAGACCCAGATGCCACAGCCGAGCTGCACGACCTGCACTCAGCCTTCATCACCGGATCACCACCGGTCAGGTCCAAGCAGAACAGACAGCACACTGCAACCTGCCAACAACATGGACTGGGGCTATACAAGCTCTTTAGCCTATTTCAACAAGCGGTATCTCTTGAACACTCACTCTTATACCTGCTTCATGTCACATATCTATGAGTAATATGCTAGGCATACAAGCCTCCCTCTGTACATTGGTTAACCCCTAGGGCATGCTAGATTGCAAGTAGGTCAAACCCACAAACAAGTTGAGGGCAAACTGAGCATTAATGAACAAGCCTGCTGATTTGGCATTTTGGCATCTTGGTTACGTATATATACAGCGAGATCCGTGTTCCAAAAGCGCTGTATCATTCTACAGACATAGTTACAACAGCATAATAGTCTGACAAGCTACTTTAGACCATACTGTGAGATCAATAGCAATAGCCTGTCTACCTGCCTAACGATATATACCTGTATTGAACGTGAGAAACTAACCTAACTCAAGCTCTGACCAAGCATGTATATAGTATAAGTGTATACGTACAGTCGAAACTACAATGCTAGAACTGCTTATACTCTTAGACCATATTTTCAATCTACTACGGTATTCGTGTGCTTAAACCTGTTTAAAATATAAAATTGTGCATGTTAATCTTGTGCCCCGCATGTTTCGCATGGGAATAGCTAGAGGACTGCCTTTGGGGCACCTCCCACCTGTCTGTGTCATATCTAGGCACTACAAAAAAATAAAAAAATAAAATAAAAATCCTGATGTGTGACACAGAGATAGGTATACTTTACCGTAACCCCTTAATTCTCAAAACCATGTTTGACAAAATTTTATTTTATATCACAGAGCAAGTTAATTAAGTACTCCCTTTCATTTTTCATCATATGTAAATACTAGCCAGCAACTAGTGAATAAACAATATTCTCTAGTAGAGCTCTAGTAATTCCCTACATCTAAATGTACATGGAGCCAATGTAACTCAAAATATATTGGTTACATTCTGACACTCAAGGGGGGTCTTAGACTATTGTACACTACATGCATTCTATGCAGGATGTAAAAGAAGCCTGTAAAACCCTGTATTTATAAATCCAAATTTCATCCTTTGTCAATTCTCCACAATCCATAGCTTAGTAAACACTAACATCAGTGTTGTAAATAAATGGAAAAAAATATAATTTGTGCAATAGGAAAATGGATATTCTAAGCAAAGGTTTAATATTATCCATGAAAATTATTTTTATAACAGTAGCTTCACATTCATCATACAAGGAAACTTCAGGGCGAATTAAAATAATTGTATAAATTGAAACAGAAATATATATATATATATATATATTCCCTTCATTATCAAATCATTACTATTAGAAAATGTGCAATTTAAGACATAGTATGCATATCTAAAACATAAAGCTATAGTTCTGCACTACAATTGTAAGTGTAGGCACCATACCCACTTTAACTGATTGATATGACATTACTCCATCTTTGCCACTTGTTATTAGTGGCCAGGCTACTGGGAACCTGAGCATCTCTGCTTGACATGGGCACAGTCGCCTTGTCGGCCTCTGCTTAACAAAACCCACCAAATACCCAATAAAGCACTGACACCATTGTTTTGGCAAAATTATATCACAGCTTTATTTGTAATTACACCAGGATTCTGTCCTTCTGTTTGTTTCTTTGAGGATTTGAAAACCAACATAGAAGAAGGCTGGGTATTCACTTTAAATACCTCTGCAGTTGTGATTTGAGCCTATCCATTCCAGGCTCTTTACCATGTGAGTTTGCTACAACTTAAGCTCCTTTTGACCACTTAGTCCTTAGCATACTGCACCAATTTTTTTTTCTATTTATCCTTTTCCCTAGATATCTCTATATACATATATGTGTCCCTTATTATAAGGGTAAGTTGCATTTTATTATACTAGCGCTCCACTGGGCCTTGTTAGTTGTGACAACTCTGTCTCACTTATAACGCTCCACTTTCCCTTTATTTGTAATTAACATACATTTAAAGGTCATTGTCAACAGCAGGCCAACGTTGGCCTGCACAATTAACATCCTGCATTTTACAAATTAACCCCTTGACAATGACCCACCCCCACATAACATAATACCCAAACATTGAACATTTTATTTAACATGAAACATGACCATTGCCACCAAAGGGCACCATCCATTGCCACCAAAGGGCACCACAAGTGTAGGGGCATACCGAGACACCCCATACACACCCCGGTTCGGAGCTACCTACGAGCTCGAACCTACCAAACCAGTCCAAAGGCCTACCTATTAGCCCTGAACTCCAAACTTACTCTTTTCTCCCCCCAACTTTACTCTCCATCCCCCGCCACAGCTCAGAGCTCGACTCCTTGAGCTCCTGAGCGACACCCCCCCCTAAGGAAAAAATCGCCCTCTGGAGGCCCTCCTGGAAACCCAGCAACAAAAAGTCCAAACCCACATCGGACAGATGGACCCCATCACTCCTATAATAACCTAGGAGCATGTCTTCCAACTCCCTGTGCCTGATCACAACCCCCTCTGCGCCACCGCGGAGGGTTTCCGCGCATGCTGCAAGGACAACCTCGGAACCATTTCCGACCATACTACCATAACTCCTGGAACTAACTCCCTTAACCTGTCCACATCCCTCTTCATACACTCGAGCAAAACCTTTTGAGGTAACGACCCCACATCATTGCCCCCTGCGTGAAGCACCACTATGTCCGGAACCTGTCCCAAAAGAATTTTGTGAAACATTTCCCCACATATAACATTCCAACCCCAGACCCCGGTCACCAAACCACCGAAGCTGCACCACAGAACTTGGAAAGCCTAGCTGTAGACCGTGACATCGAACTGCAGCTCTCCGTTGCGCCCAGTGTACGTATGAGTGGCCCACCATCCATGCCATCCAACCTGTAAAACTTAAAGCAAACATAGACAACCACAAAACAACCACCAACCAACATTCCCCATTAACCATCCTCCACCTTAAACCAACTTGTCTGGCCTAATGTAAGACCTGAACCTCAGCGACTCCCACCTGCCAATCTTTTTCACCCGTTCGTCACCCAAGCCTAGTCTCGCCGCTTCAGTAGCCGCACCAATCCTGAAATAATGTGTCCCGAATTGGCCCGGGTCCACTCCCAAACTTGCCAACGCCTTCCGAAAAACCCTGAGGAACTGGATCTTCGATAGCGAAGAGCCGTCATCATACTTAAAATATGAACCCCCGGCCATTGCCCGCACCTCCCGGAAGGCCGTTGCACACTTAACCGGGCAAGTTCTCCCACCCAGGAGTTCCCACAACGTAACCAACGTTCCCTTCCCCATCATCTATTTTGGACCGCCTCAGGCGTCCATCGCCTGAAGCCCCCCGGCCCCCTGGCGTTTGCTGCTAATTAGATCGCTGACCCAAAATGCCCCAAAAAAGGCAAAACTAAAAACCACGGAAAACAACGTAACTTCGCATCCTGAAAAACACACCGCGGGCAGCACCCGGACCACCCGCTGCACCAACTCGAACTACACCGTCCTCCTAGAATCCACTGACACTTTACCCCTCCTGAAACCTTTCAGTGCCTGTCTAACCAGCATCCTCCCACTCATTTAATTTGAACAAGTAGGCTAGCGCTGTCCGCTTACGCCCCACCTCCGCTGCCAAAACCCCTGTGGTAACTGACCTACACAAGAGCCATAGCAGCGCGTCCAACCGTGCCTCCCTTGAGAGCTGACCCCCTGTCTGCTGCACCAGCTCGTCCCATTCCCCCCACACCTTACTGTACGCTGTCCAGGTAGCGGGGGCCAGGGAATCCCTGATCAGTCCGCCAAGCATGATGTCCCAAGCCGCCACATCTTGTCCAGGCAAGACATCCCTTCCTCCCGCGCGCCAGGTGCCACCTGCCGAAATCTCTCCCACTGTGAACGAGACAACGCATCAGCAATGACATTCAACAGTCCCAGCATGTGGCGTGCCCGAAACACAATGTTAAACCTCATACAGAACAAGACAAAACGGCGAAGAAGCCGCACCACCGGGATAGAGGATGCTGATGGCCCGTTCACTGCATCTACCATTGCCATGTTGTCCGAAAAGAATACCACCTTCTTATCCCTCAACTGTGGACCCCATAGTGACAGCACCACTACCAACGGGAACAATTCCAGGAACACCAAGTTGCGTATCAGCGGGCTGGCCTTCCAGGCCCTTGGCCAAGTACCCGCGCACCATTGACCCGAAAAGTAAGCCCCAAAACCGACACTCCCCGACGCATCCGTGAACAGCTCCAACTCCTGAGAAGAAGCCGCCGGCTCCTGGAAGAACACTTTCCCGTTAAAATCCTGCAAGCATTCCCCCCAGATGTCCAAATCAGCCTTCATGACCCTCTGATACCCGAATAAGGTATCCCCCCCCCGTTGCCCTGGCTAGGAACCTGTTAAAAACCCGTCCGACCGGAATTACCCGACAGGCAAAGTTTAGCCGACCCAGCAGAGACTGAAGTGCCCGGAGCGTAACCTTCCTAGCTCCCCGCACCTCCGCCACCACCTGCCGGAGTGCCAGTAACTTGTCCTGTGGCAGCCACCGTTTTGTCACTTGCCAAGGGGACTCCAATAACGTGCGCCACCCATTCCAATGTCCTCAATCCCCTGTGACATTCCTCTGATCCCGGAGGCACGACACATAGGCAATCATCCAGATAATGGACTACCATCCTAGTGCCCGCTTCCAGTTTTCCCACCCATTCCAGGAATGTGCTAAATTTCTCAAAGTACGCGCACGATATAGAGCACCCCATGGGCAAACAGAGATCTACGTAATACTCCCCTTCGAAGTGACAACGCAGCAAGTGATGGCACTTCGGGTGAATCGGCAAAAGCCGGAAAGCCGCCTCCACGTCTGCCTTTGCCAACAACGCCCCCCGGCCCGCTCGCTGCACCAGGTTCACCGTGTACGATACTGAACAAAGGGCCCTGTCAATGTTGTCATTAACTGACGACCCCTTGGGGTAGGACAGATGGTGAATCAGGCGGTACTTGCCGGGCTCCTTCTTGGGTGCCACCCCCAGTGGTGATACTCTCAAGTTAGATAAAGGGGGCTCCCTGAATGGCCCCACCACCCTGCCCAGCTGAACCTCCTTAAGCAACTTCTCCCTGACCACCCC